GGGGGGGGGATTTAGCCTTGCAGCTTATTGTTGAAACAGACTTGAGGAAGGCATCTTTGTGCAACAAAGTTTTACCACTTCTAAACTGGGATCCGAGCGTTTCTGGGGTGGTTCCTAGCCATTGATTTAATGACCTATACGAGACATTCATTAAAACTGAAATGATGAAAAATTCGAGATTAATTTGATTTGGATCAAAATTTTTAATAACCATGGCCCCTTCTACTAGCGCTGCGCATTTAAGGATATTCGGAGGCGATCATATGTTGTTATTGTTAAGTTTAGCAAAAAGCCAGTTCGATCCTTATATTTCCTACTTAAATATAATCAGTAGCTATAATAAATGGGAGAAAATTGCAGAAAACAAGTATATCTTCACTTGCTCACTCAAACATAAACACGGCTATTCGGTCATTGTTAGTTAATTATAGTCAGCAAATCAACCACCGATAATCACCATCATTATCGGTTGTCAAAGTTATCATCCTAGTAATAGTATGTTGATTATGTGATGATGAATGATAAAGGGGCATGTGGAGGGAGAGGGGGAGGGGAGGGGGTAATAAGTCCAGAGACGGGGGAACCGGGTTTCGTGAGAATGAGTGCACGGGTAATTGCAAATGCAGCCAACTGCGACTCAAAGCAGTTAAATTACAGACGGAGAGGGACGATTTCGTGTTCATGATGAGGGAGAGTAGACTTCGAGATCAGGCAAGAAAGAGATAGAAAAAGAGATAAGAGCAGAGCGAGATTGAGAAGAAGAGGAGCAGAAAGATGTCCGCGAAAGAAAGCACTTTGAGTTGGTGTTAGGAGGAAACACTGTGAGGTATTTGACGGGGACAAACACACCTCACCAATGAATACCGCTCAAGGTCATCATGGAAACCTGGGGAGAACCTGATCGGGTGTTTGAAAAGAATACCTAAAAGTAAACAAATTGACGAAAATAAAGGGTCTGTAAACAGATTTTTCATTGGGAATGCAAATTAAAGCGCAATAGATCGGTTGGAGTGGTTTGAATTACCTTGTCATTTCGTTCACAAAGGAACTTGAATCGCTGCTCTCGTTTGTGCATGAAGACGCCGTCCAGATGTCCAGTGGCTGCAGAACGAACTTCAATGGCTCTCAGACCCCACCCCAGAAGCTGTCCTGATGCAGCGATGTAGGCCACCGATGTGGGCGTCTCGCCCCACTGGATTATCACATTCTTCGTCATCTTTCCACTCGTATCTACATACACGCCCTCAGCTACATCACACGAAACAATAGAATTAGTGTCTAAGAGCTCCCACTATACTTTAATACACTAAGTAGAGCCCCGACTTACTATCGTAACAGAGCAGAAGTTGCAATCCATCAGTGTTGGGTAAAACGACTATACAATGGGGAGTGATGGTTCCACGATTGGGCTAAGAAGAGGTAGAAAAAGGTAAGTAGAAGTTGACTAGTTGGTTCTCCTTTGGGTAACTGAGTGGAATAATGGTTGCGCTTACCTTGGGACAGAGATAAAGATCAAAGACCGTGTTGGTGTCAAGATCGATGGCATGGAAACCTGCTTCAGAGCCATAGATGACCTTTAGACGCTGATTTTCTTCCACAGTCAGGTCAACCAGCAGTGGACGGAAGTGCAGAGAAGAGAAGTGCTGAAACGGAAAGGAATACATGCTATTCCAAAAAGCGAGCGCAAAAAATACTAGCTTTTTTTGTGAAGTGTTTGGACCAACCTTGAAAGCCATGAACTTGTGATAGGGTCTTGGAGCCCAGGCGTAGATTTCAACAGAGTCTCGTAGAGCGATGACCAAGAATTTGATGTTCTCATGTTTTACTAAAGGGAATTCAAGGTACGGTTGAGATAGGGGGAGAAAGGGGGAACAAATGGAGAATATGGTAAGACAAAGAAGCGCACTCACCGATCTTGAAAGTCACTGCGCCATGAAGATTTTCGCCCACATTGACCCATCCGTTCTTTTTGTCACACTGCAAAGAGAAGACTAAATCATTTCACAGCACACATTGATTCATACTTCTGGATGTCCCAATTGCCGGTAAACCACTTCACAATCAGCTGCCCGATTCCCTCCAATTTCCAGTACTAGAGCCCATCCCCCCCCCCACACTAACTCAGTTCACATTTATCTACCTCAGTACATCCCCCAATACTCCCATCGCGAGGAGGTAACGCAGATTCTACTTCGTTAGGATTGTTAAAGCGGCTTTATCGATGGGCTTAACAATACCGGAACACTACTGTCATCTCAAAAACTGTGTTCGATTGTTTCAAGCGATTAGGGAGGGGAGGAAGGCGGGGGGGGGGGTCATTGGGACAGCGTTCACTCCCTTGACTAATGATAACTCGGCCTCTTCACTATCAGGCAAGTGTGCGATAAATTCAATGAGACAATAGAATCGAGCAATTAAAACTATCCTTCATTTTATGGGAAGCAGCAGAGAAATGAGTAATGATGTTCGCCGATCAGAGCCTTCTTACAACACACCAAATGAAACTTATTCAACCGACACATCGGCAAGAATGTTAAGAGCAGGTAAATGCACATTCACCCCCTCAGAGAAATAAAAAGTAAAATCACTCTCACCCCCTCAGACTTCATGATTTTGCTCTTGAGCCAAGAGAGGTAGTAGACTCTCAGGCGGTTCTTCCTTCCCGAAATTGTCACCAGAATATTCTGACCTTCCAGAACAGCCATCTGTGAGAAGCGCCGTCGACTTATCAGCGAGTACACTGGAACACCGAGGGGAAAAAAAAAACAATTTAAATGGAGCAATAACGGCGGGTAAAAATGTTAATATAAGCGTGAATCGAGAAACCCACCTTTTCCCTCACCAGAACGATCAAGAAGCGAGAGACCAGTGTCTAGACCAATCAGTAGATTAACACCCCACATTGCAGCACAGAGAATCTCAGAGCTGAAGCGCTTTTTGTAGACGTGTACTTCTGGAGTCTCCTCGTGTTGTTGATTCAATGGAAGAGCAGGAGAAACCTCAACAGTAGTCGGAAGGTGCTGCTGTTGAGATCCTTGGCGTTTGGGAGCTATCTTGTTCAAGACATTCTATAAAGAGAAAGAGAGAATGGAACATTTACAGAGCCATACAAAAAAAAGGCACGAAAAAGGCGATGGATTTACAAAAAAAAACACAAAAAATAATGGTGCAACACCGATGCCGGTTTCGAGGTTATATCAATGAATATAAAAGAGCCAGATGAAGAAAAATTGATGCCTGATAAGTGAGCAGGACCACACCCAGTAACGAACCATCCAATGAGCTTCCCCGTGGCCAGGGAATGTGGAGTTTGACATGGTCGCGTCAGTTAAAACTGAAACCAACTTCCTGTCACCCCTTTTCCGACTTGGTTTCTATTGAAAATAAAAGGGGCTCCATGAGGGGAAACTAGGATTTCGAACGGAGGAAACGTGCTGACCAAGAATTTCCAACCCCCCCCCCCAGAACCAAAGTTGCAAGATAGAATACGAAGCTTGAATACCTGGGTACTGGAAGAAGCGGAAGATGATAACCACGATCAAACCATTCCCTACTTATACAAACCAGAGTAGACAGGATCAGCCACCTGTCGCAAGCACCTCCTCCCAAATAGTGAAAAGAAGGAGAAGTAGAAAAAAGGTAGGCAAAAAGCGACGAAAGTTAATTAGCGAGGAGGTGACTCGAAGAGTTTCGATTCCGCACACCAACCACAACTTAGTGAACAAATAGAAAGCCACCCTCCCCCCCCCCCCCCCCCCCCAACCCCTCATTGATAAATACTTCTTAAGAGACAAATTGGGCCCATGACTCAACATGGCCTCACACTCAGCTATCGGTTCATAAACAAAAATCGATCCTATTACTCCAACGTCATTCAAACACCTGGGTTAAATGCACAGGAGCACCGAGGAGACACCTCGCTGTCTACATCGCCTTCGACCTCCTTTTTAAGGGGCTTAACAAGCAGGCATTCTTGATTAAGACTCACCTTTCCGGATGCATTATTTGATTCAGCATCCTGCTGTTGTTGTTGCTGCTGTTGCTGCTGTTCATTAGGAATGGGCGAGGCTGAGGATGGCAAATTAACTCTAGAGTTGAATGACGGAGATTGGGGGAGTGCACCAGAACCCGCTAGACAACGAGAGGCCGCGCCAAGAGCCCCCGCTCGATTGGTGTCGTCTTGGGAGCGTCGATGCTGCTGCAACTGTTGTTGCTGCTGCTGCTGCTGTTGAGCCCCGACTGCTGCTGCAGAGGTTGGAAGACCCGCTGAAGCTGTGGACGCCTGGGGCCGATGGTTTGGAGCTTGGTTGGAAGAAGAGGAATTAACAGCTCCAAAGTTGGTAACTTGAGATTCTGAAGTAGAAAAAAACGATAATGTGACATATTACCACATTTTCAAAACAGACTGATAAATGCAGCATAGCATTGATGTGTTCCTAACAAAAAATCGATTAATTCCACCTTAATGACAATCAAAATAATATTGGCGAGCTCCACAGGTAGTGAAGGTGAATTGGTACAGAGGAGAAATTGTAGGTATTAGAAACAAATGTCCACGTTCATTTTTATCGAACCACTTTCCATTAGCATCAAAACACCATAATCAACTTTTGAAAATGGGGGGTGCGCGATAGACTTACCTCCTCGTGGTGCACCCTGGGCAACGTATAATGATACGGCAAAAAGTCTATTAACCGGCAGTTGACTTCTCACTTCATGGCAAAAAGTCTATTAACCGGCAGTTGACTTCTGACTTCAGCAAAAAGTCTATTAACCGACAGTTGACTTCTGACTTCAACTCATACGTCAAAAAGTCTATTAACTGGCAGTTGACTTCTCACTTCAAAAAAAGTCTATTAACCGGCAGTTGACTTCTCACTTCAAACCACCAACACCCCTCCCCCCACTGTGTCATAGTCGGCCACTTCTACAGTACTCGCCTTACCTTTTTTCTACCTTCGTATCTGTCTCTGAACCACTCTTCTATTCACCCCCCCTCCTCTCGACTTTTTTTCACTTTGATGTTCCTTCCCCTCTGTGAAGCTTGAAGTCAACTAAAGGGCTATTGATAACTATCAAAACGCCTGCCATTTGATATAAACTTTTGGGAATGGTAAATGCGTCACCACTACACAGCGCGTACGAAATAATTCACAAGATCAAAAATAGAAAGCTGTCCACATACCCTCCTGACTAGCCCACAGATCTCCTGAAGTACCGGTGTAGATGACACTGCTTGGACGTTGGTTCTGTTGTGCGAGATGATTGTAATGACCAGGGGGTTGTGGGCGACGTTGAACCGATCGCTGAATCGTCTCCACATCTTCTGCCTCATTCTAGAAAGAAGGTGACAAGGTCACATATTATAATAATTAGCATTATATATCAGAGCTAGAAACGGCAGTCACAAATGAAGTTGGTCAAGAAAAGGGCATTATAATTAAATTAGAACCCCGCCCCCCC